ATTACTTAACATAATTATATTATTCACTCCTTACTTAAGTGATTTAAATATCTAATTTAGCTAAAAAAATAATGTGGACATCCTTTTGGGTTTACAAAAGTACTTCACATATAATTATAAAATATTCTAGAGATTGGCCGTCCAAATAAAGAAAAGTGGCCTGAAATTTTGAGGAATATTCATTTGCTCTCATTATTTGAATGCAATTTGCTGCTAGTGAATCCAATGAGTCTAAAAGTTGTGTTATTTGCAGGATGTTTTTATGAACATCTTAATGTGGTGGGAGGATTTTGATGGAAAGGTTCTAGCTCATGCAATTTTGAAGCCACGGCCTCAAATTTTCTATTGTATTTTTTAGTTAAAATTCTACCTTTTTTCCTCATCCAAATGAAAGCTAACCTGAATCTTAGGCTTGGGACCTGAAAAAAAAAATGGGGTTTTTGGGAAATTGACAGCTCAGAATTCTCATATTTAGTTAATTTTTTTATTTGAGAAGTTTACTTAAATTAGTATGTAACAGATGTAGGCTCTATGATTCTGCTTAATAAATGCTTTAGAAGTTCATGCTGGTAGTTCCAATGGAATGGGTGCAACTATCGGTCAACGAACAGGGGCCTAGTCCACCGAAAAATTTCAGACAAGTGGTTCTTATTGCTGAAATTCACTCTTTCAGTAACATGGTTCTTGTTGCTGAAAGTGAAGAATACTTTTTGGGGAGAAAGTATACTATTTAAGTATCAGCAACGTGGGTCTTGTTGGTGAAAATCTATATCACTGACATGCTCCCACGTTGCTAATTAATTTATGGAATTGATGCAGCACCCGGTCATGAACAGTAATCAGAAAATTTCAGTAATGTGGACCTTATTGGTGAAAATCCATATCACTGACACGCTCCCATGTTGTTAATTAATTTATGGAATTGGTGCAACACCTGTCATGAACAGTAACCAAAAAATTTCAGCAACATGGTTCTTGTTGCTAAAAATCATTTTCAGCAACAAAAACTATGTTGCTAAAAGTAAAGAACACTTTTTGCTAAAAGTAAAGAACACTTTTTGCTAAAAGTAAAGAACACTTTTTGCTAAAAGTAAAGAACACTTTTTGCTAAAAGGTGTACTATTTAAGTATCAGCAACATGGGTCTTGTCGGTGAAAATTCATATCATCGACAAGCAATTTCATGTGGCTGATACTTAGTTGCTGAAAACAAGAATTTTAGTAGTGTTGTTGACTATACATACATAATTGATAGAATTTTTGTCGATTATACTTACATAATCGATAACCAATAGTAGCTGTCGGTTATGTCAAAATTTTCTAGATATATATGTTTTAATATTTAACCATCTAGTAGTAGCATATATTTATCTATCTCGTAAATAATAAATTTAGTAATAAAAATTTAACACTATCAAATGTGA